CTTCCAACTAGAGAAGAAGAAAACTCAGCTAAAGATGTGTGTGCTTCACAGCTGGGTCAGACAATCATGTGTTATTACAGTTCCTGACACAGCCAGGCATAGCAAATAGAAGCTGTAGGGATCTATTTACTTAGTTGCTCAAACTACCTCTGTCATGTTCTTCCCCTGTAGGTTCAGGAATGCAGATTCCAGTGGTTCTCCTTTTCCTGGGTCTCTTAACTGTGCCAGGCAGATCCCAGAACTCAGCTACTGAGCAGGTGAGTGGGAGACAACATGCAGAGAGTGAGGGAGAGCTACTTGGAGCAGGTAATTTAGAGACTCTTATGGAAGGATTAAGAACTACCTTCCTAAGTTGCTAGGATTTTATTTAGCAACATAATGAGACTAACTCCTGCTTTACCTAGATAAAACCACACTGGTTACATCAGGGGATGACTGTGAGGCAGAAATAGTGGATTCCAATCTGAACGCTGCCTTTGGCTTCACTGGGACACCTTAAAGTAAAGTAACTTTTCCTCCACTCTGTACCAGTAAGATTGAGCCAGTATCTCTGTAGCTCATAGGAGAGTATCTGTAGACTGCTTAGCTCTAAAACGTTTATCACAGTTGGACCTGCCCTTAAAAACTCCCAGTCTAACCAAAGCATTCCCTGTACCTGCTAGAACTCTGCCACTGCTGATGGAGCCAACGCTGGTGAGGTCGAAGAGGAGGATCCATTCTACAAGAGCCCTGTAAACAAGCTGGCAGCAGCAGTCTCCAACTTTGGCTACGACCTGTACCGGCAGCAGTCCAGCCGGACAGCCACTGCGAACGTGCTGCTGTCACCATTCAGCCTGGCTACTGCACTCTCTGGTCTCTCACTTGGTGAGTTCTTGCCCCTTCTCCTCGTGTGCTGTCTGGCTTGACAGGCCTTCCCTCATACTGTTGTCCTTGTTGTTGGCAGGGGCTGGAGAACGAACAGAAGACGTGATTTCTCGTGCTCTCTTCTATGATCTACTTAACAAAGCTGAGGTCCACAACACTTACAAGGACCTACTGGCTAGCATGACTGGACCAGAGAAGAGCATGAAAAGTGCCTCCCGTATCATCTTGGAGAAAAGTAAAAGTCCTTCTTCCCCTCTGTCAAATTTTACCTGAATGACTAGCAGCAGGTAGAACACACGGAATAACACTGCACTAACAGCTTTGGCTCTGATAGACTGTTAAGCCAGGAGGCAGACAGTTGCTGTGCAGGCTGTTGCTGCTCCAGAAAAAGCCTGAAAGGTTATGTGCACATAAATAAAAGACCAGACTCATGCACACAAAGACACCGGTGACAGAGCAGCTCACACACCAAAGACCTAGAAGAAACTTGCTGAGAATTTCACCTTCACTCTAACATTTTCTGGCAGGTGTCGCTAACTTCTAGGAAGCACAGATCACATTTTCTATCTGTGATAGCATTCAGCCATATTCCTTTGTTTAATTCCTTGCAGAACTATTTGACATGTCTGCTTTTGGCATGCAACAAATGTCTGTTGAGAAAGCTAAGAGCTCTTAGCTAGTTCCAAGAATCCAATAGGTTGAGTAAGCCATACACACAGAGCAAGCTGCAGAAAAAAGAAAGACTGATGTTGGAATAGCTGTGTCCAAGCCTTCTGCTCTCATCTCCTTTCTTTACTTTTCAGAAGAGAGTTATCCCATACTCCAGCATGGGTGGCTGTAGGACTTGGATCAGTTTCCTCCATGTGCCTTCAGTCATTCTCCTTCAAAGCAGGTTTCTGTATACACACAGCCACAGATGTTTCACCAGAGAACTGCTGCTGGGCTTGGGATTGCAATCTGCTGCCTTGAGGTTGTTTTGATAAGGGAGCTAGCTGCAACATCCATGTTTTTGTTCCCCAGGACTGAGGGTGAAGCCTGGTTTCCTCAGCCAACTAGAGAAGTCCTACAAGATGCGTCTGAGGGCACTAAGTGGTAACAGCCAGTTAGACCTCCAGGAGATCAACACCTGGGTACGGCAGCAGACGAAGGGGAGGATTATGCGGTTTATGAAGGACATGCCCACAGATGTCAGCATTCTCCTTGCTGGGGCTGCTTACTTCAAGGGTAAGAACTGTGTACTGGGTTACAGAGAAGGTCTATTAAGCATGTGTTAGAAGAGATGTGAGGGAGCACTCTCACTGCCATAGAGACAGTGTAAGAAGAAAGGGTTTGAGAACCTTCAGTAAAGAAGAAAATGCTACCTGAACAGAAATAGTCCTCGAGGGAGGAATTATTACTCTTGGGAAGCTGAATCTTGACCTGTTTGCAATAAGAGATCAGACAAGAAAGTTTGAGCTCACAAAACTCCACAGCAAATATTACAATTTAGGTAGGGCACAGCTTAAAGAGTGTGCTGAGCCTTTTAACCACTGTAGAGGGAATGGAGGGAGATACTGGAGAGCTGTTCCAGAACATGCTGTAAGCCAGTGTCCTGGAGAATTACTGCTTAGAGACATAGAGCAAAATAAAGGGTGGGGAGAGAAGCACTTTATATGCATTGACACAATTGTTACCCTTTAAAATAGTTTTGTAATTACATAAGTAGCCATCAACTTCCTGCTACTCCACCCATCTACTGGCTTGATTTTTTATTTCCCATTTAGCCAATTCTCAGATGAAAAGGAGGGGCCAAAGCGTGGCAGTAAGTCAGTAGCTCCAATCAGTCTGTTTCCACCTCTATCATCATTCAGTTATGCCTCAACTCTTAAAGCACAAATACTGTAATATATAAAAGCACAAGATTACTCAGCCACCGACACAAGCATGATTTCATATGCTGTTATTCCAGAAAATCCTTCATTTTATCTTTAAAAAAACAGGGACATGGAAAACCAAGTTTGATGCCAAGAAGACTGCCCTGAAGGACTTCCACCTGGATGAGGACAGAGCTGTGAAGGTGTCCATGATGTCAGACCCCAAAGCCATACTGCGATACGGCTTTGACTCAGAACTCAACTGCAAGGTCAGAGAGCAAATATTGCACAGGATCTCCTAAACCTACTGAGGAACAGGCTCAGCTACACTTACCTGTTAAACTGTTCCAGAAGACAGCCCTGCTCCTCCCAGAAGGCTAGTTTTGCAATCCCTATTTTGAAAGGCAGTGTGTTGATTCTTAGAATATCCTACTTCTACACTGGCTATGTGACAAGCAGAATTTAAATAATGCACAGGTCCCACTAGCCTGTGCTGCATGACCTAGTTGGGCAAGAAGGGCAGGGCACACATCTCAACTTTTCCATCTCTACCTCTTTCAACAAATCTTTCACTGTAGCATGAGCTCAGAGGTGTTCCAGCAGAGACTCCCCCACAGCAATTCTGCAGATCATTACAAACAGGGAAGAAGATCAAATGTTAACTGGAAAGGCTGACCAGGCAGTTCAGATTCAGCCCTGTGCCTTGTATGGGATGCATAAAACTTTTTATTATTGATGTGACCTTTTCTTATTCATAACTGGCCTTCCAGATTGCCCAGCTGCCCTTGACAGAGGGAATCAGTGCCATGTTCTTCCTGCCTACGAAGGTGACCCAAAATATGACTCTGATTGAGGAAAGCCTTACGTCCGAGTTTGTCCATGATGTAGACAAGGAGCTGAAGACAGTCCACGCTGTGCTAAGCTTGCCCAAACTAAAGCTGAACTATGAAGAGGCACTTGGCAGCACACTAAAGGAGACAAGTATGTACATCACACACCCTCCGCAGACTGACAGGGTTAAGAGAAGTGAGCAAGTTGCTTCCTGCCCTCAGAAGAATATGAAGCTGGTGGGTTATTAGTTAGGTCCTGCTATCAGTCCGTAGATTTCCCCAGCAAATAAATCACTTCAGTCCAAGACTCCTCAATTTTTTATCACATCTTTCCACCAAGCTCACACAACGCTTCTGAGATTGAGAGGGAGAAGTTCAGTACAAACAATTGTGAACTTTTTCTCCCTGTTACCCCCAGAGCAGCTTTAAACTCTACCAGAGCAGCTACACGCCCCCCTGGACCACAGCATTAGCAGTGCTGTTCCACCATCTGCAATCTCTGCTTACAGCTAATGGAATTTTCTTTCTTTCTTTCCTCTAGGGCTCCAATCACTTTTCACATCACCTGATTTTACCAAAATTTCTGCCAAACCTATCAAGCTATCTCATGTGCAACACAAGGCAATTCTGGAGCTTAGTGAAGATGGGGAAAGATCCACACCAGATCCTGGGGTGAATGCTGCTCGTCTGACCTTCCCCATAGAGTATCATGTGGACAGACCTTTCCTCCTTGTACTCCGAGATGATACCACTGGAACCCTCCTCTTCATTGGCAAAATCCTGGATCCCAGGGGTGTTTAGATCCCTTCACAATAACCTGCAATGGTAGGGCCTGAATGGAAGGGGTGGTATCGGGAGGGTTACTGGCTCCCTGCTCTGCTGCACAGAGACACAACTTGCCAATCTTATGCCTTCATGCTGCAATAAAAGAGCTTTTGCTATTAATCTGAGTAAGACTCAGTATTCTCCCTTGAAAGATTGTCTGCCTGTGTCACATGCCTTCACACTCCCATTTTCCCCAGATGAGCCACAGTGCAGTTCTGTGTCCCATATGCAGGCATCACCTGGTGTGTACTGCATTTTCCCCTTTGTCTTCCAACCTGACATCAGTTGTTTATACTGGATCCCTCACCACTGATGGGTCTGTGCTGGTAGCCCTCCAAGTTCTGCAGTGCCCTCTCTTAGAGCTTGTAAGTTTGCACTTTCCAGCCTGCTGTCTCATCCCTTCCAACCATTTGTTTCACACTGGCAAGAAAAAAAGTGCTTCATAGCATCACAAATAAAAGGCAGCATGGTCTGGATGACTGCATGTTCATAACCACCATGGTGCCACACATGGGAGAGTCACATCTCTGGAAACACATGCACACACAAGATCTCAAGCATTTGCTTCAAACCCACATGCAGATATTCTATAACAGCATCTATTCCCACCACACCACACACAGACCCCTCATGTTAGAATTGGTCATTTTATTTACAACAGTCTCACTAAAGAGCATTTCAGATTTCATTCAAGTTGTTGTTACACGTGATTTTCCAGCTTGTACTACATGGATACCTTACCACATGAAACTTAGCTTTGATGAATGATCACATTGCAGCTTCCTTTGACAGTGAAATTAAATCCTCTGAAGGACGCTTCTGGGAAGCTCTAACAAACAGGTCTTCATCTCTTGCAGTTCCTGGATCTGAGTACTCTGAGGACCACAGTGCACTGACAAAATCTCCTCTGCTCTTTCAATCGTGCTCAGAGCTTCAGAAACTGCAAATCTGAAAGAGAATAAGAACAGAGTATACAAAATACTTTGTTCAGCTCCTTCACTTTAACCTTTAACCTCGCCCCTGCAAAAACCTCAGCCTGCCCACGGGTACAGATCCTACCCTCTGCTGCCTTTCAGCACCAGGCAAGCACCAAGGATGTGCTTCAGCTGCAAAGGGAGGAGGGCAAAAGGTAAGGAGATGGACAAAAACTTGAAATATTATCCTTGAGTATAGGTACCCACTACTTTGACACTGCAGCTCCAGCTAAAATTCATTCAGTTAAAGGGAGGTGTTGTGAGAAGATGTTCAGAAGCAGTCAGGGGCTTTGCTTGCCAAAAGAGGCCTGAAATAGAGCATGAGGATTTTATTTCCTCCTTTGAGGACACATCACCAACACTACACAACTCAGGTATAAACCCCAAGGGTGACAAAAACCACAGGAGAGGGAATAAATGAAGCCAGGGAAAAGAAGAGAGAGGCACAAAGCAGAGAAATGGGTCCAAAGAGTCATGAGGTGTAAGTGAAGCCCAAAGGGGTTAATGAACTTACACTTGAGTAATGGTCAACTTTTGTACCTATGCCAGAGTGCCCAGGTCCTACAGGACACCCTGCAAGGTGCCAAGGACCACCTGCCATGCCATTGTGTCAGACACCCAGGAGTGGTGCAGGGACAGAGGATGAAAGCAAACTTACCCATTGAAGAGAATTTGTGCCAGTTTGAAAAGTTCGTGCCCTATTTCTATACTTGATGGGCCATGATGCATTTCCACAATCTCAATACTCCTCTGCAGGTGTCTGGCTGCTTCCTGCCACTTCCCTGATGGGAAAAAAACAACAAGCCAAACCAAAAAATTAGTACTGAATTAATACTTTCTAGAGTTAGTGCCACCTGAAGAATCTGCCAGCATCATGCAAAATGTGATGAACTATGTCCACAGCATTCTTGAGAAGCTGCTGGCCTCATAACCAAGACAGGGAATCTAGAAGAACATGAGATTACATTATTGTTCACTGGCTGCTGAGAATGCAGTTTTGGCTGAAGTAGTTTGCCTGAGAGCTCTGCTGTCAAAACTAGAGAGATGCAGTAGAAGAAAACTGAAAGGACTAGTCAGAGAAAAGGCTAGTCATGTTAAATTAAAGTTCAGAAAACTAAAGATAATGAGAAGACAATGCCATACCAAGAGTAGCATAGATCTGTGCCAGATGATCCTCCATCTCTCCCATCAACAAATGCTCTGGAGACAAGAAGTTTCTAGCATCCATCTGACACTTCAGGAGCATTTTGATAGCCTGATCTATAACAAAACAAGGTACAAAATTCATCTTACTGGACAGTTTCCAGCTTTCCATGATCCACGAAACAAAATCAGTCTAATCTTATCTTACACAGCTAGATTTGGAGTTGGTTAGAATTCAACCCTGTGACTGCATCTGCAGCTCTGCTCATTCTAACGTAGTGCTGGCCCAGCTCACTCCAGGAAAGCAAGCCCTGGGAATGCACAACTCTAATGTCACCCAAAGTCCTTTTAGTTACTGTGGAACAATATGTGACTTATATGAACACCCAGATCGGGGGTATACAACCCCTAAAGCTCAAGTCCCCAGGGACATCAGGCTGGGTGCCAGAAGACCCCCAACTGCATAAGCAACAGTGCCATCTCATGGCTGGAACCACGGCTCCCGAGGCATAGCAGCCTTACCAGCCTTCCCATCCCTCAGCAGTTCCAATGCTTTCTTCACTTGTTGCTGAAGGTCCCATACACGGCCTGACAGGCTCTCTCTGCTGACTGAGATTGCACAAGCTTCCTTTGAACAACAGAGCATGTCTTCGCCCTGTGGA